GCTAACTCTAGGGATAGCGTAATTCTTAAGCCGTAAGTAGACTATGTCGCCTACTATAGGCTTCTAAGCTACATACTAAGAGTCGTACCGTTGCTTTATAGCGGCCTATATATAGGCGATATTGTTCTCCGCCTTAGCTTAGTAGATATCCCGTTTCTTTACTAAATTCGTCGCGCTAGTCGTTACTATTTAGGCTAGTTCCCTAGGGTTGAAACCTATTAATACCTAGTTCGGTAACATACTAGTTAAGGCGTTAACTAAATTGTTAAAAACTAGCTATATATGCGGCGTTACGTATTCCAATTCTAGATCTCTATTAGGATATTAGGTAAGGAAGTATCGTAGGGCAATCTCGACGGTCTAGTTCGTTCTCTTAGACTAGCTATTAGCCTATAGGTAATAGGCAGTCGTTATTAGAAGCTTAACGTTTATCCGCTTAAAAATAGCTTTCTATATCTCGGACGCAAACTTCGGGTCTCTATCGGAGATAATTACGGTCGGTAGGCCCTAATTGTATCGGAATAGCTTGTCGAGTAAGCGGTTAGCCTAAGCCTCCGCTAAGTACGCATTGTTGCTAGTAATTAGGAGTACCTGTTTCGTATACTTATCCGTTGCTATAAGTATAGCGTTAGTTTCCTAAGCAGAAAGGGACACTATAAAGTTAATCGTAATCGTATAGAAGGGTACTAGTAGGGATAGTATAGGATTTAAGGACCTATACGGCTTATGTCGCTTAGTCTGTAACTCTAAGCAGTCCTAATAGTAACTTAGATACTTTTTTAGTCTCTTAGCTAGTTTCCGGATATAGTACTAGTTATTTATATAGGTATAGGCACGATGAAAGCCGATATAGTATTAGTTATCGTATATACTGCTAAAAATGTTACCCTCTAATACCTTTAGGATGCACAATCGTCGGTCGCTTAAATAGGGCTTATCGAGCTATACTAGGCCTTCGTCGTCGACTAAGAAGCTAGTAGAGCCTAGTTCCGCGTTCTATACTCTTGCTTTAATGTTGCTCTAGTATTTATCTTCTTCGTATACTTCGATAAGCTATTGCTTAAATGCGTCGTCTATTTCTAGTATTATTACTCCGCATACTAGTTCGTCGAATACGTCGCCTTCCGGGAGATAATTGTTTGTCGTTTCTAGGCGCGATAAGGCGTCTAGTACGATATATTCTCGCCCTAGCTTATAGACTACCTTTAGTAGGAAAAGGGAAAGATATTACGACGATCTCGTTAGTCGGTTATTAAGCTTATTAACTAATAATAAAGTTAAGGCAGTCTAGCTTACAATCCCTAGCGTTGCCGCGTAATCCGTAAGCACCGTTACTACTAACTCGCATGCCTCGACTATCTATCGTACGCGTTTAATCGTTTATACTAGGCAGGCGACCTCTAATTCGGTCGGCTAGTACCGTCGCTTTATGCTAGAAAGAGTCTTTAACAAAAACAAAATTAGTTATATCTTTGTCCTACCGGGATTTTTAGTAATAGCGTCGCCCTCGACGTAGGCTACTATTACGCCGAAGCCTCGTTTCTTAGACGCGTCGATATAGATATATAGCGGCCGGTGTCTCGCGAAATAATACAGTATCGTTAGCTTAGTAAAGGCCTCTTATAGGGCTTAAAACGTAGCTAGTCGTTCCTCCGTTTTCTCGATTAGTATCGTTGCTATATAATATCGACGTGCCTAGCTAGTAGTAGGCGCTCCCTTAAGCCTCTCTGTTTTTATCTTCTAAAGCGGTTCCGCTAGTTAAGTATAGTACTTAATATACGTTCTTAGCTACCTAGTTAGCCTAAGATAGTGCTCTAGGTCCTTTAGCGTTCGTAGGAACTTAAGCTTAGCAATAGCCGCTAATTTGTCGGCCGGTATCGCTATACCTAAGGCGTCGACTCGTTGCCCTAATAGCTAGATCGATAGGTACCTAATAAAAGCCTTCTTAGGTGCTATAGTTAGCTAGTATCGGTTTAAGGCCTTAAATACCTTATCGAGATAGTATAGATATTCTTCTAGTGTCTTGCTATAGATAACAATATTGTTAATAAAAGCCTTAGCGAACTCGTTAAGTCCTTCCGTTTGTAGGATCCTATCGATCTATCGCTATACGTAGGGCAGCGCGTTCTTATAGCCTATTACGGCGACATTATATATTTCCTAGCCTCTATAGGAGACTACTAAGAGCTTATATCGGTCTTCCGCTTTTACTAACTATTAGTAGAAGAACGACTTTATATCGATCGTCGAGATAAATTTAGCGCCTTAGATAGCGGCTAAAACGTCGCCCTATAGCGGTATCGGGTAGGCGTCTGTTATCGTAATACGGTTAAGTCTATAGATATCGACAACCGCTCTGCCTTTGCGGCCGTTCTTTAATTCCTTCTAGACTACGAACGTAGGGAACCTAAAGGGTATTAGTTCCTTCGTCTAGGATATCTGTCCTTAGTTATATAGCTTATTATAAACGCCGTCGATAATCTCTCGTTTCTTTAGGCCTATAGAATATACCTTGTATGCTAACTTAGCGCCCGCTATCTTCTAATCGCTAACTAGGGGAATCGTTATCTAGTCTTCTTCGGGAACCTTAGCGAAACGGCCGTTATCGATAAATAGTTACTTATGTTTTTCTAGTAAGGCGTTATATTTAGCCCTTGTTTCGTCGTCGCTATATAGTATAGCGCCTATTAGGCCTAGCTTTTCCTTTACTCCCGGTTGCGCTAGCGGTAGCGACTCGTCGTCTTCTTCTCGTTTAGTTATTACTATAAAGTATAGTAATACTCGAGCTCGTCCTTTCTAAGCGATATTTATCGTTACTACGGTACTATTTAGGAATTGCATTTCCTTATTAGCAAAAGACAAGACTAACTTCTCCTTTTCTATTAAGCGCGTTTCTAATAGTATGCTAGCCGGTAGGCTATTAATTAAGTACGCTCTTATCGATATTGTAACCCTATTATTAAAAACTATATTAATAGGCATCTTGTTAGACAGGCTCGTAATCTTGTTGCCTACTTCTCGGATCCGTCGCAGGCGCGTTGCCTTTAAAGGAACTCTATTAGGGTACCGCTACTAGGCTAATATTCGATCTATAAGAGTAATTAGGTTACTGCTATCTAGGCATATTTCTGTTGCTATATTGTTTATCTAAGCTAATACTATTGCGTATCTAGCAGTTATGCCCGTTTGCTTATTAGATCTAGTAGCTACTAGGATTTTTGTCCCTGTCCTTTGCGGTATTTAGTCCGCAAATGCGAATAGAGCCGGTTAGACGTCTTAAACTCCTAACGGTATACTATATAAGTATATTTGTTATATACTAGACTTAGATGTCCTACGTTAAGAACATCTACCGTATTAGTATTTATATTAGTATCGTCGTCGCCTTCTTTATTAAATAAGTACTTATTAGAGTCGACGTAGTTAGTATCCTATTCCTCGCCCTCTAATTCTAGCTCGTCGTCTACCTAGTAAGAGTCTTACTTCTTACGCTAAGCGAAGGGCTTTATAGGCTAAGGCTTAGCCTTATCGAAGGTCTTCTTAGCGCCTCTTAATTATAACTTGTCGCTTGCTAATTCTTAATAGTCTTAAGGCTTCCGAAAGCGTTAGTCGCTTCGACCTTAGTCGCGGCGAGGCAGCAGCGGCTATAAGGCACGTACGTTATTAGTCTAAGGCTTCCTAGAGCCTTCCTATCGGTCTGTCTACTAACGGCTCGATCGGAAGTTCTAGTCTCGATTACGCTATAGTTACTTATCCGCTAAGCGGGTAGGGAAAGGTCTCGATAAAAAACCGGTAATAGTAGTTACTATATTGCGTCGGTTTAGTCGTCGTACTAGTTTAGCCTACGCCGGTTGCTCCTCCTTAAGCCTCTATTTAAATAATATAATAGTATCCTCTTCCCTTAGTAGCTAAATGCTACGCCGTAGCTCTATATCGATGCTATTCTATATATACGTTAGCTACTAGCTCTTATTAACTAGGCCGGCGTTATATATATAGTATATTACCTCGCTAAGGTAGGCATCTATACTGCGTCGGTTACCTACGTCGAATAACGTATATTTAAGCTACGTTAGCTCGCTAAGGGACTTAGATAGTAGCGCTTAGAAATTCTCTCGTAGCGTTATAAACTAAAGGTCTAGACCTAGTGCATAGCGAAGGCCTTACTTCGCTAGGTTGTTAAGCGTATTAGTATACTAGGTTAAGGCCGTTCCTCGTAGTACCGCGGGGATTCTAGACTTAACTTATTCGTTACTACGATACGCGGCTATATCCTTAAGTCGCTCGATAAAGATATTAACGTCTCGGAAGAAGGTATCGGATCCTACGATACTCGGGTCGTCGTCTCCCTTCGGTAGGTCTAGCTAGAAGAAGCTAATTTCCTAGTCCTATATTCGGTCTAGGTTACTAGCCTTATTAAAAGTAGGCGTACTATTACCTATAGTAGGCGTCTAGCCTACTAGTACCTAGGCTACTACTGCCTAAATAGCGGCTATTATTTCCGCCGAGATGCTGTCTCCTTGTTCCGCTATAGTAGGAGGCTAGACGCTCGTTATCTATATAGTTACTATTACTAGTCGAGCCGTTAATATAGTCGAAAGTTATATACTTATAGTAGAGGTCGCTATTATTATTATTGTATTAGGCGATTGCCGTAGAGGCTATTAAGGCTGTTATAACTGCTATTACGATCTAGAGGTAGCTACCCTTAGCTTAGAAGGTAACTTCCCTTTTACGGGTAAGTATCTTCTAGACCTACTTACTATAGTAGTCGCTAATAGTAAATTTAGCCTATACCTTCTTCTATAGAACTATAGGAACGAGTTCTATATAGGCTGTCGGTATACCGGTAAGTCGAGCTACTTAGAGGGATAGGTCTCTATCGCCTAAAAGTCCTATAGAAAGCGTCCTAGATAAGACCTAACTTCCGTATTAGTAATCTAGTTAGTTTGCGCGTATATAGCGAAAGCGCGGTCGTCGTCTATAGGGTTTATATAGACATGCGTTGCCCCGTATATACGGTCGCGTAGTAGTAGGGGGAAGTAGTTAGGCTCTTAGTCGGATTAGCCCGATCTAGTTACCTCGTCCTAGTAGCGTCTCGAATAACTCCTAGTAGCACGAGGGTTTAGAGCGAGCGAAGCTACTAATTGTTATAAAGTTGAGATTAATAATAATTAAGTAGAGGAGGAAGGCTAATTACAAAGGTAGGCCGTCGCCTCATTAGTTAGCCAGCCCCTAGACCGTTACTTCCTTGTTCCGTAACACCAAGACCCAGCGACGGCTGCATCCCAACAGGTGTCTTGCACTTGAACGACGAGATTCTCAAAGATGCCATTGCCCTGGTCTGCCCGTTGGGAATTTTATCGCAGCGGCCATATCCTCCATCCCTAGCAGATGCAATCTTTATGCTGCGATCGCGTTCTGATGGCTGTCGTCTTCGACAGTTTCGATGCTTTCGGCTCGTGGTAGCAGGCCATTTCTGGGGCCAGTACGTCGACCAGGCCTTGGTCTCGGGTTAGAAAACGAAAGGCGACACTGTCCTGTACAAGAACTGTTCTATGCCACGATAAGGATGCAAGAGCTCTGACTCCAGCACCGCTGCATCGATACACAGCAACATCACCGATTATCAGATCATCTGATACCTTATTACATTCGACCAGGACCAGCTCGGCAGAGTTCCGCCTTGCGATCTTACAACCATGAGCTCAAGAAACCCTGAACCTGACACCCTGCAAGCTTAAGCACACGTGTGAATGGACGACGCTGCACCAGATCACACTACTGTGGGCTAGCTCTTCCTCTCATTTCGTCTTTGTAGATCCCGGTGCAATGTCAGACGTGCATATTTTTTGCAACGCTGTCTGCAGTGTCATCGATAGTGTGATTGATGGCGTTCAGTGACGGTGGAAGGAAATGAGGTATCGAAACAATTGAACACAAACCTCGGTTTGCACATGGGAATGCCGGTGAACACTTCGAGGTTGTGTGGCCATGGAACTCTGTATGCTCTGTCCAGGTCCCAGGATGGAAGGCTGTTTCCACGACTCGTTCGGAAGTTGAAAGTCATTGCGAATACCACCCTCGTGTCATCATTCCTGCTGCTGCTAATACTACAGCACGGTACCTCAATGTACAGACAAGAGAATGTCACCGGCGACTCCCATTGAACAGTCTAGGTGGGGTTGGCCGCCTCCACTGGCACAACTCCGCTCAGGACAATAATAGCGACAGACATGAGGGGCGCATCGCAAAGCGGCAAACCGACGGTATTTGCCGTATATCCATAGCTGTTTCGCATCTGCTTGACGTCGGAGGCTCATTTGACTGGAAGGCAGACTTCAGGTAGTCCGGATGAGTGAGTCTCCGTGCTTCACGGCTTGGAGTCAGTCCGTCCAAAGACGGGTCAAGCTAATCCACATTCACCAAGCTCCAACGCCTCCTCCCACTTCTGGATAAAATGCAGCATGCGTTCAAACAAGCTCCTCGCGCCCACCAATCACGAGTCGCGTTAACAACATGGTTCCCGTGGTCGCGCAGCTAAACATGGGGTATTTCAGTTGGCGGAAGCAGCTAACACTGTGCATGATTTCATGCTTAACTCTGGCAACGATCGTACAGGCTGGCCCAGATTCCCATTTGCACGCACTTGCGGCACGTAGCATCCCAATCTCATTGACTCGAAACGTACTGGCTTGACATGGGCAATTCGCTGTTGCAGGGAGCGGAGATGGGTTGAACAACAACGGCAGGTTGGCAAGCACATAAGAACGATCGAGGTCGCGACAAAGTGCTTCTTCCTTTTCCTCCAGGCAGCACGCATCCGACCATCTTCTCTCTACAGGTACATCAATAATACCCTAATTTCACCACCACAAGTCGTGACAATGCGCTCTGCTGCTACGCTCGTTTTCGCAGCTCTTGCTGCTGCTGCCCCAGCACCGGTCTCTGACATTGAGAAGCGTCAAGCTGTCAACGACGGTGTCATCCTCAACTACGCTCTCACCCTTGAGCACCTCGAGAATGCCTTCTACAAGCAGGGTCTTGCTCAGATTTCTGCCGAGGACTTCTACAAGGCCACCGGCGACAAGATGTTCTACAACAACCTGAAAGAGATCTCCAAGGACGAGCAGACTCACGTCACTTTCCTCTCTGGCGCTCTCACGGGTATGTCACCGACACAGATCCTAACGCTTATCGACGCTTTCTGACCCATACCGACGTATAGCTGCCGGTGTCACGCCAACTCAGCCATGCACATACAGCTTCGGCTTCAAGGATGCATCGACCTTCCTTGCCATTGCCAACGTCCTCGAGGGTGTCGGTGTCAGCGCCTACCTCGGTGCCGCCCGATACATCATGAACAAGGACTACCTCACCGCAGCGGGCTCCATCCTCACCGTCGAGGCCCGCCACTCTGCCTACCTCCGTGAGAACCAGAGCCCAGCTCAGTCTCCATTCCCAGCAGCCTTCGACATCCCACTCGACTTCGACGAGGTCTACTCCCTGGCCGCTCAATTCATCAAGAGCTGCCCAGCGAGCAACCCCAAGCTCCCAGTCGTTGCCTTCCCAGCCATCACCGTCTCTCCAGCTGGCGTTGCCAAGCCAGGTGACAAGCTGTCCTTCACCGTCGCCAAGAGCGTCGATGCTAAGGCCGCATATTTCATCACTTCCATGGGCCCAGTCTCCGCTCAGCTCTCCGGCTCCGGCAAGGACTACACCGTTGTCGTCCCATCCGGCGCTCAGCCAGGTCAGGAATACGTCGTCCTCACCAAGGACTCTAACAAGCCAACTGACGACAACATCGTCGCTGGTCCAGCTGTTGTTCAGGTTGCTGACAACGCTTATGGCCAAAGCGGCAACGGCAAGGGCCACGGCTACGGCTGGGGTGGCAAGGACGACAAGCCACAGGGTTACTAAATGTAGCGCCATCGGTAAAGTGAGGAGATGTTGAAAAAGCACTGGAATGGCGAAACCTAACAGGGAATCAGTACCTGTAATCATAATTTCGTAGTACCTATCTACACCCAGTAATCTAGGCTACTGAAAAATTTGTGGCTTACTGCAAAGCATTTCTCGATTCTTCATGAAACTATTCAAGTCGCCTGTAGAACTAATGCAATGTTTTTTTCCACTTCTTGCATATGTGAAAGAATTGCTTCAAGTTTCAGTAGGCACTGCTGTCGTTCGCATTAGAGTCCGCGAAGCTTAGCATTAGAACCAGGTCCGACCAAATAATGCGAAAGTCACTCGGCGACTTACGGATACCCGCTGAATGGTCGTAGTGGCGACCATACTTTTATCACTCCTCTGCATCTCCACCACCACCTCCACTGTCCCGTCTCTCATCCTCAGACTTCACCTCACCCTCCTCCACACCGACACCAGAACCTCCAAGCCGTCTCTCTGGTGTGGTACTCCTTCTCATCCGATCATCTCCATCCCTCATTTCAACATTCCCCGAAGTCGCATCCGCAGGACCCATCTCTCTCTGCGGCGTCACGCTTCTCTGCTTCTGGGCATCCGAGGCATCCTCGAATTGTTTTGCCGCAGCATCAGCGATCTCGCTCGGGACACTTTCGCCCTCTCCGCCCTTCCTCGGGGTTGGCGCGTAAGCAAAACTCCTCCTCCTCCCCTCACGGATCGCATCGCGTGCGTTGTCAATGTGAAGATCCAATCGACGCATCTCGTGCTGCAACCACTCAATCTCATCCTTCGAAGCTTCGAGAAATGCAATCACGTCCTCTTTCTCCATCCCACGAATATCTTTGCCGTCGTTCTGGAGCATGCCATCGAAATCGATCATGCGCGACTCCCAGAAGTCGTTGTCTTCGATTTCGATGCAGCTGTCGGGCTGTTTCGCGGTTCGTATGACGGACTCCATTTGAAGGTCGAGGATCTGCGATATCTCTTTGCAAGCCAGGATCAGCGCGGTTCGAAGATGCTCCAGTGGTGGTGATGGGTTGGTGAGGTAGTCGATGCGGGTGATGTAACCTCGTAGCCATTTTTTCAATTCTTCGACTTCGGGGGCGCCGTGCTCGAACTTGAGCAGGTATGACATTATGATGCGAAATAATGGTGTGATTGTGCTTTCAGGGCGCGCTCCGTTGAGTGTTGCGGGTGGTTGGACGTCTAAAAAGGAAGTCGCGATGGCGTCTCGATTTGTTTGATTTTATTGGTTCTGGTGCCTGGTAGAGGCCAGAAGATGGAAGTCGCGACATCACGCGGAGAAGTTCTAACGGCCAGAATCATCCATCCTCCTCTCGAATCGTGTCTCGTCTTCCCTTCTCACATCCTCCCTACATCAGCTCCACCTCTCACGATACTCTTGCATCTTCCATATAGCCCAACTACTCTGGCGTACAAGCGAAGCTCTCCCTCATACCACTATCGAAGCCGTCTTCTCTTGCATTTTGGGGTCGACATGTGGCAACTTCACGAACTTCATGTTGGATTTCTCAATCGCGCGCTCAGCTGTCATAGATACGGCGAACGAGTTCGGTGAATCTTCATTGACGTCGAGCCCATTGGAGTTCTCGGGCGGGCACCACCGAGGACGCTGTTTTGATATTAGCACATGGATCGCTCCGATTGAATTATGGATATGTGCGGTGCTCACCTGGGGCGTCTTGGCTATTCGGTCTTGAATGTCTGGTCTGAGCTTAGCAATGCTTGAATGTAGCTCACTTCTCGGCCCATGGCAGATGCTACCCTTGCAGTACTTCTCTGAGCTGGGCAAAAATGGCTCTCACTGCGCCGGAAGACTGCTTATCATGGCCGTCCATGCCGATCTCAGAAGCCAGCCATACTCCCCATGTACACTGTAACATCCTGCCTCTTCTCGAAGAAGTCCGGCCACTCGTTCACATCCATGACCAGCGTCACGCTATTCTCCTTCTTAATCAATGCCTGCAATATCCACGTCATAGCCGGCAATCCCGTCTCTTTCGCGAATCTTACAAGCCCGCACCTCTCCCTCGAGACACTAACGTATGCCTTGCTCCCAAATTGCCAGATGCCAACTCCAGTCCAATGTTTACTCGATTTTGTGTCGAGAATCCGTCCGAGTTTGAGGATTGGTAGGCCGAGCTCGCGAATGTTGAAGAGGCCATGCACCTGATACGGCAGTAAGATCTTTCGGCCTCCAGAGTCCAGGAGATCCCTGCCAGGGCCGAGGTCTTTGCTACGGCTTACGTGATGATGGTGCTCTTCCCAGATCATCACTTCACTGTACAGGATGGATTCTGTTTCCAGTTTGATCTGCCGACATGAGTCAATAAAGCGTGGTGAGCGTGGATTCAAGCTTTGGGTCACGGCATCTCTGTGTCTCGCAGAGGTGTCGATGCTTTGCCAAGGGCTCCTCAGAACTGTTTCTTCTTCGTTTTGTTCTTTGTGGAAATGCTCTCGTTGATGTCGAAAGTCTTCAACAAGTGCTAGGTACCAGATACGGTTGCGGAGCTCTGGGGGAAGAGCTAGAAGTTGCGTCTTGGAATTTCTGACTTGTGTTGCCATTCTGATCAGATCATCGAGGGCGGACATTGTAGCATCGTCAAGACAGATTAAAGAGCATGCCTCACTCAGCTGCCGAGGGTACATGGCTGCCTGATTGTCGGCCAGATGGTATTCCATTCTTGACTTCACAACCAGAGTCAGCTTTCAAGAAGATGGAAGTCACTGCGTCTTTTAAGTACCATGTCCTGTTCGACCATCCGCCGAACTTATCCTAGTTATCCTGAACCATGGCTCCGACGGGGATTACAGCCTGAACTTGTTGGTGAGTGGTTTTCATCATCTTAGACTCTGTATCCTCGCCAACTCAGGACCCCGGTCGAACCGTTTTCTCCGTATGAGTGAACGCTAAGCAGCACACTGCCCTAAATGGCTATCCTGGCGCCAGCTCCGGGAAGCGCCGAGTTTTCACTCGTACTCTCTCCTAACTACACAGCCAAAATAGTCGACAACTATGTGCGAGTTGCATACATGCGTCCTCGACAGTATCTGGGGAACGCCCTTGCCCATGTTCTCATGTGCTTCGAGCATGTTCTTGCTGGAATACAGACGGCCTGAAGAGTGACTGATCACCAGTGTGCTTGCCTAGAAGCATCTCGTAGAAGTCATCGCAGAGTGTTCGGTCCATTTGGTGCAGTCAGCTTTCCAAGGCATCTTAAGTACCAATTGCTGGCGAATTGACCACGACATGAACGTATTATCATGCCGCGGAAATGGTAGAGCCAAAAGAACGAGGATACGCGCATGACAAGATGTTCGTCTGAAGTCGGTATATCTTGCCACAGCAGCACAAAGCATCAATCAGTGTCGAGATCAGGTTTGTCGCCAGCCATTTCTGCATCATCACCGGTGGGAGCGGCGAGAGCAGCTTCTGCCTTCTTTGCCTTCTCACGATTCTTCTTCTTGACCTTCTTCTCGCGATTACGACGTGTCCGCTTTTCCTGTTCGGCCGCTTCCTTCGACGCCGCTGCCTTCAGTGCTTGTTCCTGCTTTGCTTTCGCTGCAGCTGCTTTCATCCTCAGTTTGATACGTGATTTCTTTCCAGGTCGCGTATGCTTTGAAGCGACGACAGCATGGTGGCCCAACAATCTTTCATAGATAGCATCTGAGCCCTCGAGCAGGATTCGTTGCTTCCGCGAGGATGGTATCTCTAGCAATTTCCATGGATACGCCATACCAGGCCATGGGGTCTGAGACGCCAATAGGATATCCTGGCCCGACAGAGCTGCAGTTTCATAGTTCTGCCGCTCTGCAGTAGTTACAGGCCCCTTGAAGTAATACGAATCGTTCCTGTTGGGCCTGATGAAACCAGACTCATGTTCACTAGCTTCTGGCGTTGCGATTCGGATCTTTGCCACCGCAGGAGGATCATCGCTCTTCCTCGCAGATGGGGCAAATAGTTGAAATTCCAATTCGTCTTTATCTTCATAACCATCTTCTTGCCGGGTATTGTCAGTGTTGGAATCCTGCTTCCGATGGACGAACTCGAATTGGCCTAAAGTCGTGATTTTGGACAGATCGGGAGATGACGGAGGCGTGCTTGCTTCTGACAGCAGTTCAGATCTGTCTACGACACGCTCCATGTTGGCCTAGCTTTTCTTCCTACTCTTCATTGCGATGTCCAAAAGACAACTGCAAAGCAGGCAGACTTTCGAGCTGACGGGGATCGACTGCAGGCTTGGCGTTAACTTCAGCTCTCATCGGACTTTCCGGGGCATTTTGCTATCTCCACTCAGACTAGTAATAAAGGGTATTCGTGCATATGATATAGAATCACGTGTTCCGTAGTAGACTTTTCTAAACCCGCAAGTAAACTTTCTAACCCCTCTACTAATTAAATAAACTCCCGTATAGACTATATAATACCCTTTATTACTAGTCTAATCCGTTTCTATTAGGTTTTAGTACGCGTATATAGATAATCGTAGTAGTAAGTAGATGCTATTAGCTATAATACTATTATATATCGAAAATCGCAAAATCCGCTACGGTTAAGCCCTACGTAGTTATAGAAACTATCTACCCCTAAAATCTAAAGAACTTAGGTCTGCTACTTACTAGGGAAAATCTATTATTAGCTGGTAACCGGCCCCACACACCTAGGCTGAGTTTTGAGCCTATATAAGAGGCCTCCTTCTGCATTGTAGATAGAGTACCAACCTCGTATAGTATATTGTTTATATTACACTTCTATAATGCCTATGTTGTAGGGCTCTAGTCTTTAGCCTGAGCAACCGTCTTATTATCCTATTATGCTAAACATAGCTGCCTATATTGCTATAGGTTATGTTACCCTCGGTAGCCTATACTATTACTACTAGTAGTAGTAGTAGTTTTAGTTTCCGTCCTTTATTAGAGCCGAAGGTAGGGCCATCTCTTTATATCTAACAGGTTTAGGTGTGTTAAAGGTAGTCTCTAGGTACGAATAGCTATAACCGAAGCGAGGGCACGATAAGAGCCTACGATACGGACGATACCGAAGTATCTTAAGGGGCTATTACGACAAGTAGAGAAACCTCTTAACGAGGGCATCGCTTTAATCCCGAAAAGCTATAAACCCTTAGGACTGTTATAGCTTAGGGCCTAGTCTATAGCTATAGCTAGCTTCTAAGGACTCGGCTCCGGGTCGAAGACCTATTTAGTACCGCTTGCTCGAGATAAGCCCCGCCTAAGGAGGAGATAGACTAATTACCTATCGGCCTTGCTTAGTTTACTAAGACTATCAAATTGATAGCAAATACGGATTACAGGTCGGATAGCCGGGGAGTCCCCTATTAATCGGGTAGGGCGTTCCTAGATTCGTAGCCTCGCTTAGACAGTGCTTAGCCTTCTACTAGAAAAAGAAGGCTACCGCCCCCCCGCCTAGCTAAAGGAGATACGAGCTAGTTTCTAGGATCTAGGTGTAAATAGAGATTGTAGTCTCTCCCTCCGAGCGGCTTTTGTCTAAAATCTACTAAACTCAGCTCCTAGAGGTAGTTAGGCGACCCCTAGGAGGCTAAATCCTAATACTACCCCGGAGGTAACACTAGGAGAAACCGCCTAATATACTACTCTCTCGTATAGCAATATTACAACAAACTAAATAGACTAAAGTTACTAAAAACACATTTATATAGCATTCTATTTTAACTATTTCAACTATTTCAACTATTTTACAATAATCGAATAAGCTCTAGCTCTAGCGAAAACGAACGTCGAGAATTAGCGGAATCCTCTAAATCCGAAAACGCCCCTAATCCTATTAACGAAGAAATCAGGCGGCGACTAGTTAATATAAGTAAGCCTCCTACGCCCTCTACGCTAGAGGCGCTCTACACTATCCTTATAAAAATGATAGAGAAGCAAACTAAGCTTCTCCGTTAAAACAAGCGTCGCCCGCTAGAGCTAGGGAGTAGGGCAAATCCCCTATTCGAAAGATAGAACGCTATAGCATATGTTAAGCGCTTTAAGGAAGGCTTAGTTAATTACGAGCTCGATAGAGAATCCGACTAGTACAAGATTCGGTCCTTTACGAGGACTACCTCCTCTAAGCTTTACCGAACCCTTAAAACCCTAGTTAGCTACCTAGAAAAGGACGACAAGTCTAATACTAACTAGGAGACCTTTAAGATAGCCTTTATAAGGGAGTATCGGGAGCGCGATAGCCGTCGCATTAAAGGCAGTCGTACGTAGCTCGAGTCCCTCTGCTTAGTAAGGCGCACTAAGGATAACGACCTAAAGGGGTATGTCCGCGAGTTTGTCGAGTTAGCGGATAGTATCGAACAGAGTAACCTCGAAAACTCTTAGAGAACAAGGCTGCTCCTCTAGGGGTTGCCGTAGCCTATAGCTTAGCGTATCTTCCGTCGCTATAAGCTTAGCGAGGCCGATCCTAAGAGCTTTAGGAAGTATAAAGAGGTCCTAGTATATGTTAAGGCCGATATTAATAGCGTAGCCGATGCGAGGAAGTTCATCTACGGCGAAGACCGGAATAACCTAGCGTAGGTTAGGAAAGAAGCCTTAGTAAGCAAGGGACCTAAGTTCCTTCCTAAATCGCAAAGTAGTCCTAAGACCGTAACTCCTACTGTTACTAAGCACTCTTAAGATGTCGCGGACTTAGCTAAATCCCTAGCCTAGCTAAACCTAAATACGAAAGCATTATAGCGAGTTAGGGAGGTTATTAATGCTACTATACTAGGCGATATACTACTAGTCTACTAGGTTTCAGATCCTAACTACCCTAAAGCCCCTTTAGTAGATATATACGCTATGCGGAAGATCTATTCTAACTTAGATAGCAAGTGCTAGATGTATAGCGGGTTCAAACATATCTAATCGTCCTACCCTATCTAGAAAGAGCTTCTTAAAAGGAAGCTTATTATGCAAGTAAATGGCCGATTCTACTATATAGACACCGGCGACAAGATTGATTTCGAATGGGATCGGAGAGCCCCGAAGCTGCCTTAGCTAAAGACCCTTCTAGAAAAGAAGTACGGCGGCAAGATCGAGTTTAAGGACACTAGGAACAGTACCCTCGCCGCTATTACTAAACGAGAAACTTAGAAGGTTAGGGCAAAACAAGTTAAGGAGCGAAGCAGTAACGGTACTACTAAGCCTATTAAAGTTAACTTTGTTTCTTAGGATCCGGACGCAGTTACTAATGTTTACGCGGTTACTAAGAATAGTATAGATGTCTACGCTGCTATACGGTCTTAGACCTAGTCCTAAAGTAAGGGCAAGAGCCCTTAGAACCCTACTCGCCCTAGTGCGGCAGCCCCTACTAGGGTACTAAAGAACAAGGCGGCCGATAAGGCTAAGCAATAGCGAGAGTTAACCGCTAAAACTAAGACTCTCTAGACAGCTATAGACCGCGCTGCCCGATCTAGCACCGCACCTAGCACCGCCCCTAGTACCCTACCTATAGAAAGCCTAGTCGTCCTAGAGACTCTAGAGGTCGATATAGAGGATGTTACTACCGACATTAGTAGTACCCTAGGCCTAGCTAACCCACCTGCCTACAAACGGAAGTCATCCGACCTAAAGAGCTTTCGCTTTAATAGGTATATAAAAAAGTATAGTACTAGCCTAGCTAACTCCTTAGACACAAAGGTAAACGCTCTCTTCTAAGCTTTATAGTTCCTAGACCTTAAGTCTAATATGTCTATAGGGGAGCTACTAGTATACGGTTTGCCTACTAACCTGTTCTAGAGCCGAATCCCTAACGATACTACCTTTATAAAGGATCTCGCTACCCTCTAACGAAAACAGGGACGAGAAGACTATATCGACGTCTCTTCCCTATAGTTCCTTCCTAAATTTTTAGGTACCTAAGAGTTAGTAGAAGGCGAATCGGTGACCTACGAGAACTAAGAGACTATCGATAATGCTAACGAAGAGGGAGTTAAGGAGATAGGCCGAGGGGATAGTAATAATCCCGACTCTGCTCTAGTTTTAGTCTCTATTAAGGCAGTCCGGTTTACTAGCTAACAAATCGGCCGAGCAGGACCTCCTCGACCTAAAGAGCTTTACTCTATCCCTAATAATATAGACCTTTCCGCAGTTACCCGTTCCTTCGCCGTCGTCCCTACTATCTACATTTAGGTCACTATCGGGAGCTATAGTTAATAGATACTAGCAATACTTAATAATAGTTCAGAGTTACTTATTATAAGTAAGCGCTAGGCTAAACAGCTTAGACTGCTAATAAACAGAGACATTTCCCTTAGTATATAGGGAGTAAATAGGGAGGTTGCGCTAGTAGGTACCTGCTACAATGTTATAGTAGACGCTTTCGGTATATGCTTTTCCTTCACCTTCTAGATTGCCGCCGACCTAAACACGCTAATTATTCTAGGTCGGCTATAGTCTCGCATAACTCGTAGTATCTAGCGCAACTGCGACGATAGCTCCTAAGAGGGAACTATCGCTAACTAGAAGGGCAACCGAGTCGTGTTTACTAGTTATATCGGCAATACTAGCTACAAGTCCTACGAGGATATCCTTACTACTTCTAGACAGTCTTCGGGAAACGCTACGGCGCGGTTGTAAGACCGGCAATCTACGCTATAAGTTAGTATAGCTTAAATAGGTTATTTCTAGAAGTGCGCCGCTCCGTACGTTAAGGCAAGTTTCTAGGTTCTATACTAAGAAGACGGGTGCTCGAAGCGATAGCGAGTATAATATAACGACTACCTATACCTACTACACGAGTTAAGGTAATAATGCTATCTTATGCGTTATCGCCGGAGGCATTACTACTAGACGCGGGTCTACCCGAACTAACTAATTAGAGCGCGAGTCTAATGCTATCCCGGGGGTATTATTACGAATCTAACGTTTTCGCCGGCGTTATAAATTAGGACTACTAGTTATATACCTATCGACTTAAGGAGACTTCTAAGGAAGTTTACGCGCTGTTTTGTTACGCTAATCTCTAGGCCTAACGACAAAGAGAGAGAGCTCGGATTCGATAATCGATTAGTATCTATATCCTATATAAGAGGGTAGCCGACAAGATTAAGCCTGTAAAGGGCAGCGTATACATTACCGATAGGTCTAATCCTAGCGGAAATCCTAACTAGCGATAAAAGTGCCTTAATTAGGAGGC